AATACCAAAAAAAAAAAAAAATAGCTACATAGTATTTTTCATTACAGTGCCTAATGAGAAAGATAAAGTTGAAGGTTCCTGAACACTTGAACCAGAGAATACAAAGCTCTCTGATCGTAGAAAAGAATTCTTTTGATCAACTCCGTTATAGTAGTGACCACGTCAGCCATGACAGCTTAGTAGTACTTTGAAATGTAGTCATTTCGCAATATAGCTTTAAAGATTCTGCATTGTTTGTAGGGCTGCAAAGTAAGTGTATTTAGGTAGGGGTACACATAAATACAATTACACAAATTATCAGACGCAGTATTTTGTGTAAATTACCAAGATAACCCCCCAGAAAGTGTGACGTTTTTCCATTGGGGTCCTGGAAACGAGCTGTGTAGCTGCCAGTTATTGGATGCTCTTTTACGTACCTTGCTATTCAAGAGACTGCAGGTTGATCAATATCTTGCCTGGCTTATAGTGTGTAACCTTCTGTTGCCCTTGCCATAATTTACAAATATACTGTCTACTCTCGCTCTCTCTCTCTCTCTCTCTCTCTCTCTCTCTCTCTCTCTCTCTCTCTCTCTCTCTCTCTCTCTCTCTCTCTCTCCCCCTCTCTCTCCCGTCTCTGGCTTTTCTTAATGTGATGGGTTTGCTTTTACTTTATTATCAAAAGCTCCGAGTGATCTCACAAGTCTCTCTTTCTGTGACTTTTCTTTGTCTCTTTCTTTTGCTCCCTTCTACTTTCTCTCGTGTCTTTCTTTTCTTTGATTTTCATTTTTTCTTACTTCGAATTTATATGATTAGGCTAAAAGTTGACATTGTTTTTAGGGGCTGCTGTCTACGTTAATAAGACACGAATAACCTGCACATAGGAGAGGAGGAGCTTACGACGAGGTTTCGGTCCGACTTGGACCATTTACAAAGTCACAGTAACGTAAAAGGTATAATGTTTGTCAGGAAACAGAATAAGTGTTTCCTGACGCGGGTTTTAGTCATATGATGACCACAGCTGGAGTTTTTGGTCATCCGACCGAGGACTTCCGCTGTCTTACCCAGTCCACCTCTTAAAAACTCACGGTTATGATTATAACCATTAGTACAAAAGTAGTGTGACTTTGTAAATGGTCCAAGTCGGACCGAAACGTCGTCGTAAGCTCCTGTCTCCTATGTGCCAGTTATTTGTGTATTGTTCAAGTCACGGTATTGTGAATTTTTGTTCTTTGCGTTAATAAGGGTTTGGATAGCAAAAAATAAAAGAGACATAATGGAAATAAGTCACATTCTTTGACTTCAATGAGTTATCCTAGGTTAAATCTAAATGTATTTATTTGTGTGTCCTCATGACATCTTTTTACCATGAAGACTTAATGTAACCAATACCTAAAAAAAAAAAAAAATACACGCCTTTCAAAAATGTCAATTGGTAATTACAAAACAATTAGCATTGCTATAAATTTTGAATTAGAGCCATGATAAATTATCCTGAGAATTAATATTTAAATCAAGTTTAGTAGCATACTTCAACGACTATTTTATAATTATTTCTATGGAAAAGTATTTAATGTAGAAAATGCAACAGTTTATATAATGAAACAAGTATGCTTTAAGTTAAATAGTTTCTAGGTTAAGGTGATTTTAACAGCTTCATTAAATGAGCAGACAGCCGTCCACACCTTAATTAATGCCTCACAACCTTCAATCTTGTCCTTCCCAGGATGCGACCCACACCATTGACTAACACCCAGGCACCTGCTTACTGCTTGAACAGGGACAGCAGATGCAAGGAAACACGCTCAACGTTTCCACCCGCTGAGGATTGAACCACAGTGTGTGTGAGGCGAGAGCGTTGTTAACCTAGCTCCTGGGTCTCTCGAGGGAATTTAGTAGCGACTTTTAGAGCTGCTTGCGATAATATAAAGGGGGCTGCGATTATTTGATCGTGCAGCGACTAAAACGAGACTAGTTACATTATAAAACTGGTAAATTTGAGCCTGCACAGCTGTGATGAGCTTTTCATTAGGTTAGTTACATCAGTGTTTAAAATCATTCAGATGAGGCATTCTCAAGTTATTGCATGGCAATAACTTGAATTTGCAAGTTGGCATCTACCCAGTCCAACGGCACTCCTAAACCTTGCTTCTTCATATTAATCAAGGCTATTGAGCTGAACACTTCCAAATTACTTCTTTAGGGTGAGGGACCGATCACCTCATATTTACCTCTCCACTGCCTCTATTATTTAAGTCACTTCTGTATTCAACTGAAGAAACATGTTGAACAGGTTAAGTGTCTTGATAAAAAAGATACCAAATTCAAATTCAAAGTTTATTCTCTATAAGGATTACAATGCTGAGTTTACAGAATTTGGTTATTGTGTGGTTTACATGTAGTTAAATAATGATTACAGAGTGTACCACTAGAACGCCTAGCATGGCTAGGCATTTCGGGCAGACTTAGTTTAATTCTTAATTTTAAAATATTACAAATTATGAGGTAAGTTGGTATTATGGCTAAGTGACTAAATACTAGTTTGTGAGTTTAGCAATGTGAATGCTTTTGTTTTGGCACAGTACATAGTTTCAGTATTGGAGTATCACAGGATTCATTATTTTAAGATTGAGGTTAATATTTCTGTTTATGGTCAAATGGGTGTGTGTAAGTGTGAACCACCAGGTGGTATTCGTGTAGTTAGTTGATGGGGTGTATCAGGGAGATAAGATGTTTTCTAATGGTAGTTTTGAAGGTGATGAATGTGTCTGCAGTTCTAGAGTTCTCAGGTAGGGTGTTCCAGATTTTAGGGCCTTTGACATACATTGAATTCTTGTAAAGGTTTAGTCGGACACGGGGAATGTTGTAGAGATGTTTGTGTCTGGTATTATGCCTGTGGGTTCTGTCACAACTGTCAAGAAAGCATTTTAGGTCAAGGTTGATATTGGAGTTTAAGGTCCTGTAGATGTAGATTGCACAGTAGTAAGTGTGGATGTACTGAACAGGGAGTAAGTTTAGATCTATGAAGAGTGGGGGGGGGTGTTGCCAGGGATGGGATTTAGTGATTATTCTTACTGCAGCTTTTTGTTAGGTTATTATTGGCTTTAGGTGTGTTGCTGCAGTTGATCCCCAAGCACAAATAGCATAGGTGAGGTATGGATAAATAAGTGAGTGGTATAGTGTGAGAAGGGCATTTTGCGGCACGTAGTATCGTATCTTGGAGAGGATCCCAACCGTTTTGGATACTTTTTTGGTTATGTGTTGGATATGGGTGCTGAAATTCAGGTTGTTGTCAAGGTGTAGGCCTAGGAATTTGCCCTCATTATGTCTGATAATTAGAGTGTTGTCAGTCTTAATGTTAATTTGTGCATCTCCTGCTCTGCTACCAAACATAATATAGTAGGTTTTGTCAGTGTTAAGCGTAAGTTTATTGGCTGTCATCCAAGTCGATATTTTGATCAGCTCCTCGTTAACAATGGTGTTGAGGGTGGCAAGATTAGGGTGAGAGATGACATAAGTCGTGTCGTCAGCAAAGAGAATGGGTTTCAGGTGTTGGGATACGTTTGGAAGATCATTGATGTATATGAGGAAGAGCAGGGGACCAAGGACACTTCCCTGGGGAACTCCAGTATCAAGTGGCCGTGTTGTTGATGCTGTGTCTTTAATGGTGACATACTGATACCTATTAGTAAGGTAAGATTTGAAATAAGCAAGCGCATGGCCTCTTATACCGTAATGGTCAAGTTTGTGAAGTAGGATGTCGTGGTCTACTGTGTCAAAAGCTTTTCTTAGGTCAATAAAAATTCCTAGTGGATATTCCTTATTTTCCAATGCTGTGTAAAGCAGATCTAGCATTTTTATGATTGCATCATTAGTGCTTTTATTTTTCCTGAATCCAAATTGGCAGGGGTTGAGTATGTTTTGTGCCGTTATAAATGAATATAGTCTCCTGTGCACGAGTTTCTCAAAGATTTTGGATAGCAATGGTAAGTTTGATATTGGCCTATAGTTGTTTAAGTCTAGTTTCGGGAAGGTGCTAGTTTCTAGTGACTTGTTAAAGAGAAATGAAATAGCATGCGAAAGGACATGGGGCGCTCGCTTGTACAGTAATGGTGGGACATGAGACAGATTCCCTGAGTTATTTTTAAGTGACTTTATAATCTCGGTGACTTCCGTGGGCTCAGTTGGTGCAAGATAGAAGGAATTTGGGAAATTCCCATCTAGGTAGTCCCCGGCATGGGCATTGGTATGTGGGATTTTATTGGCGAGATTAGATCCTATGGTTGAGAAGAAGTCGTTTATCTTGTTAGCTGTGTCAGTGGGATGTAGTGGTGTTTCATTAGGTTTAGTTAGGACAATATTCTTGTTTTTTTCAGTTTGTGGGTCCCTAGAATCTGAGAGAGTGTTTTCCAGGTCTTTTTTATATCTCCTCTAGTGTCTGTGAATCTACTGGAGTAGTATAGTTGTTTGGCTTTCTTTATTACTTTGGTGAGAAGTGATGAATAGTGTTTAAGAATATCTTTGTGTATTAAGCCAACTGATGCACCTGAACCATGGTAAGAGGGGTTAGAACCCATGGTGAGTCAGTCAGTTTGGTTTAGTTTGTAATCATATTACGATTTCGTGAGCCATGGTGCACATGTACTATACTCGTCTATTTGGTCGGTATTGTATACCATTAATGTGATGATACTCACCCGAAGTTCGATCCAGGTACTTTCGGTAGTGAGTGGAATGTGCTACAACCTCGCTGTAGGTACAACATGTGCAATTTGAGGTGCATTTACATTCATCAGAAGTACTGTTTAGGCAGCTGTCTGTCTTATCAAGAATTGATTTATTAATGCATAAATCTTGCATGTTCATTTAACTTGTTTCTCTTATGTTTGCATGTACCTTATTCCTACTGTACTTTCCTCGGTTTTCTCCTTTTTCTCCCTACATTTGAGCCGCCTGCTTACAATCCCTTATTCTCCTTATATTTCTCTTCCTATCTCTTCTTCCTTTCTTGCTCTCTCTGGCAGACTCTGATTCCACAGTCATCTCAACAGTGTCTGAGGCTGTTTACCATGAGTATGACGACCTGCGACAGCGCTACCAAGTGGAAACAGAATCCATGGCCCAGGCTTTTAACCGTGCCACAGAGGTTAGTATTAAATTTTGTTTTAGCAAGTAAGTGGTTTGATGTTACCAGATGTAGTAGAGTTCATAGTCGAGGCTTTTAACCATGTCACAAAGGTTAGTAGTAGTTTCTATCCTCATGTTATACCAGTGAAGCAAAATCCTCTTAAATATTTTGCATCTTGGCTAGTCTTTTCCATCTCATGACCACGTAAGACAACAAGAAAATCTTAAAAACTATTTATACTCATTACACACTTAACTTTGCTTACCTGTGTGTTTTAGATTAATATTTCTTGTTCCAATTAATGAGGCCTGATCAAAGACCAGGCCATGGGGAACACTGAGCTCTAGAATTATTAACAGATATATCAGGTATATTCTGCTCTAGTGGATTGCATGCAGCCAGCAGTAACAGCCTGGTTGATCAGGCTCTGATCCACCAGGAGGCCTGGTCACAAACTGGGCTGTGGGGGCGTTGACCCCCGGAACTCTCTCCAGGTAAACTCCAGGTAAACCTCTGATATTAAGGCAGAATTATATTCTCAACTTATTGAAGGGCAGTGACCCTTTTGAATAATATATTTGGGGAGAAGCCCTAAATCCATAGGGGTTATACAGTGAATGGGAGGCAATCATGTTTAATTCAAGGAAGGGGAGGATATATCCAATTCCCTGGATCAAAAGCCCTTCATCAAGATCAAAGAACCTCCCTTGAGGGGCTTTTGAGTAATACTTGAGGCTCAATTTTCTACTCTTTTTTTTTTACATGTACAATACAGTATTACCTTGAATTTTGTAATTACATTATTCCATTGTACTTTTATAATTTTTGTCATTAAATTTGTAATTTGTTTAACTGCTCGACTCTCCCTTATATTGCCTGATGAATATAATACAAATGTAACTGACCATAGCATACACCAAGTCCAGTTTTAGAGAACTACACTAATACATTTAGTCTTTCAGTTGTATCTTTAAAGACGAGGGGGTACATGTACCTCCTCCCATGGGAGACTTAGGTCTTGAGACACTCCCCAGAAAGGGAGCCAAGGCCGGGTCACCACTCTTGGAAAAGACCCGGGCCGGGAGAGTACCGGTGAATAAAAAAAAAAATTATTTTTTGCTCATCTCAAAGTTTATATGGCTGGTTTTCTACCAAAAACATGTTTTATATTAATAATGAAATACATATTTTATGCATATATAATTTTTTTAGGAGCATATGGTGTCCATGTAGGTCTGCAAGCAGCTAGCAGAAACAGCCAGGTTGATCAGGTACCATAAAGGAAATCTGGTCTCAGGCCAGGCTACAGTTATTACATTCATGATGGAGTGCTAAACTCATAGGGGGCATACAGTGCTTAGGAAAAATGGAAAGCAATCAGGTTCAATCCAAGGAAAGAGTAAGTATAATTCCTTTGATGTAGAGCCTAAAGGAGCGTCCTTTGAGGCTGCAAGAGAACCCTCAAAACCAGTGCGAGACATGTCAAGAACAAGTATATCATAAAGGACACAAGTGCAACTAATGTGACATATTTATTGTGGCAACGTTTCGCTCTCCAGGAGCTTTGTCAAGCCGTTACAAACAGTACATGGACACAGAGGGTATATATAGGCTCAGAGTGATGTGCAATACTTGTGGTAGTAGTAGTAGTAGTGAGATAAGTTGTAATAGCAGTAGTAGTAGTAGTAATACAATATGTAGAACAATTGACTCGCACAAGAGTAAAAGGATATAAAACCTATAACTTGGGTAACATAAAAATAGGTTAGACAAATATTTCTATTGGAGGCTGGATAGAGAAGGTCTGTTTCAATTTAATGTACTATGTGTATTATTAACAGGAGAGACTATGTGATGGCAGAGTTTACTGTTTTCAGGAGGATTCTTGCTAAGACTTCAGAGATGGTGAAGCTGCCTTTGTTTTGTTTAATTGTATTAGAAACAGCTATTAGTGAAGATTCAAGACATTTGCGTTTGCGGAAATTGGCTTCTTTGATCACTAATTGGGCGTCCCTGAATTTCATGAGATGCTTGGTGGAATTTCGGTGTTGTACACAGGCGTTGTTCAAGTTATCGTTCCTACATGCCTAAATGTGTTCATTGAGGCGGGTGTCGAGGTTTCTTGCTGTTTCACCTACATAAATCTTGTCACAGCCTCCACAGGGTATAGTGTAAACCTCTGCATTGACTGGTTCATGGCGCTTGGATTTTGTTCTGGTTAGATCCTTTATTGAAGTGCTGGAAGCGATGGCGACTCTGGTGTTAGTAAGTAAGCTTGTGAAAGTACTTTAGAGACATTCAGTGCAACCTGGCTGTTGGGAAGAATTATAACTTTGTTAGGAGTGGTGTTGGTGCGTGGAGAATTAATGATCTGAAGAGCTCTTTTCTTGCAATCTTTGATGAAAAAGGAAGGAAAATGTAAATCAGTGAAGGTTTGGTGAATGTATGTACATTCCTCGTCAAGAAACTCAGGACTACAAATTCGGTATGCTCTCAGGAAAAATCCGATGATGATGCCTCTTTTGGTCCTAGTATCTTGACTGGAATAGAAGTGTGCGAGATCATTTTTATTTGTAGGTTTTCGATAAACTTGAAATCTTAGGTTGTTGTCTATTTTGTGGATATGGACGTCTAGGAAAGGTAGCTTGTCACTGGACTCTTCTTCTAGTGTAAACTGGATCGCCGGTTCAACTGCGTTGAGCCTTGCCTGAAGATTCTGTACATCAAAATGTTTGGGTGAAACAGCAAGAAACCTCGACACCCGCCTCAATGAACACATTTACGCATGTAGGAACGATAACTTGAACAACGCCTGTGTACAACACCGAAATTCCACCAAGCATCTCATGAAATTCAGGGACGCCCAATTAGTGATCAAAGAAGCCAATTTCCGCAAATGCAAATGTCTTGAATCTTCACTAATAGCTGTTTCTAATACAAATAAACAAAACAAAGGCAGCTTCACCATCTCTGAAGTCTTAGCAAGAATCCTCCTGAAAACAGTAAACTCTGCCATCACATAGTCTCTCCTGTTAATAATACACATAGCACATTAAATTGAAACAGACCTTCTCTATCCAGCCTCCAATAGAAATATTTGTCTAACCTATTTTTATGTTACCCAAGTTATAGGTTTTATATCCTTTTACTCTTGTGCGAATCAATTGTTCTACATATTGTATTACTACTACTACTACTGCTATTACAACTTATCTCACTACTACTACTACTACTACTACCACAAGTATTGCACCTCACTCTGAGCCTATATATACCCTCTGTGTCCACATACTGTTTGTAACGGCTTGATAAAGCTCCTGGAGAGCGAAACGTTGCCACAATAAAAATGTCACATTAGTTGCACTTGTGTCCTTTTACTTTACATATTGTCGGTAATTCTACCAACTTTATTACAACAAGTAGAGTGGACCCTCACATAACTATATTATTTGGTACCTGAGAACGAATATCGTCAGGCGAGTTTTTTTTTAGCGTTAGCTGAGGCAAACTGTTAGCGTTAAAATGTATCGTTAGGCGAATTTAACATTATGCGATGCATTCATTAGATAAGGGTCCACTGTATATCCACCTGTGAGACAGGCTGTTTTCATTAAATGCACTGTACCACATTATTTTAACAATTGATGTATGTGTATAATTTGATTAAAAATTATTAAATTTAGTTTTGAGAGAATAGTACATGTTGCTAAAGCATAAGACACAGTGCTAAGTCTTTTTTATATAATGCAGTATGTTTCACTAATTATTTAACTAGATTTTTCCCTTTTAGATGAAATGTATCACTTCAGCCTGACTCAGTATGGCTTTCACCATTGTTTGAGTTCATTGATTTTATGCTCCTACTTGCAAGTAACATAGGCAAAAGTAAACTAGTTGTAAGGAAGCCCTTGTACCTGCATATACAAATAAGTCAGGTGCATGTGAAACAGGAGCACTACAGTAAGCCTGCTGGCAGTACAACAGAGTTGAGGAGCACTGCAGTAGGCATACTGACCCATGCACAGTGCAGTACTTCTCAATTCTCTTGTTCTATTGACTGTAGATCTACTTTAGTGCCTCTTTTTTGTGTGCACCTGGCTTGTTTTACATATATGGATAGGCAAACCCTGCTTTATAACAGTTTGCTTTACAGAGTTTAAAAAATACAGCAGTTTTCAATTACAACCACTCCTCTTTTAGTGACAAACTCATTTACCAACAACTCAGACTTATGATGGGCTCTCTGACGAGCATGCATACCTAACCCTTAACCCTTTATCGTGTTGGGCCGGAAAAATTCGGTATTAATTACGTGTTTTGGGGGCGTGTCATACTCCGTGCCCCGCGCGGCCAGCTTCCCGTTCTTTAGTTCCAACCAATCACAAGCCTTCCCTGAGTCTCTTCAGCTAAGTACAGTTCGCTTCTGCCGCCTTCCCATTGGTTGAGAGATCAAAATATAAACACTGGTGGCTTGGCTCCGCCCACACACGCATTTTTCCCTCCACCCTTACTAATCTACTCTTGGATTATACATTCTACAATGTCGGTAAGTACTGATTGTTGTGTTTAGTGCTTACATGAATAGTTTAGGCATATTTTGATATATACCTAAAGTCCGTGTGAAGCATAATATGAGTGTAGCATGCAGTTGAAAAAAGTGCAAACATTTTATACCGAATTATTTCGGTCTTGCACGAGTTTCCGGGAATGTCCAATTTTAGTCAAATAAATATTTATAAAAAAATTTCAATTGCATATATGAACTCTGTAGTGGTCTGGATCTATACAGGAGGTTTCTATTGTCCTTCCAGATCAATGAGAAGTTGTTTTATGGGGAGCAGTCCACCAGCAGGTCGAGGTATGTCTGCGTTTCTGAAGAGAGTGACTCAGAAGCAGAGGTAGATGAACCAGAATTGCTGGATAGTGGTGATGAATACTTGCCACCGGATGCACAGGTGTCAAGTGATGATGAGGAGGAAGAAAGGCCAGCCAAAAAACAGAAATTAGTGAAGAAAAAG